CTTCAGTGCCAGAACTGACTGTGGGATTAGTGACTGTTTTGTTGGTGTTTGTTGTGACATGTGTAACTGTTGGCCTGGTGTTGGTTGAGATGTGTGTGGTTTTTTGCTTGGTGTGTATTGTGTTATGTGTGACTGTTTGCCTAGAGTGTGATGTGACGTGTGTAACTGTTTGATTGGTGTTTGTGGTGACATGTGTGAGGTTTGGCCTGGTGTTTGTTGAAGTTTGTGTGACTGTTTGCTTGGTGTGTTTTGAGGCATATGTGAGTTTTGGCTTGGAATTTGCCGAGTGTTGTTTAGGGCCTCTTTTCTTAAATTCTGGTAAAGCTCTACATCTGAGGCAATACCAGGTCTTGGGAACAGTGTTGATACCCAAACAAGACAAGAGGAATTGCTGAAGAACACAACTCGGATTACAACACTTGACAGTATCCTCATCAGTTTCCTTTCTACAATAGCACACTGCATCAGCCAGTGGAATCCATCCTCTACAAGACTCTCTCTTCTTGTGTACCATCGAGCAAGTACCTCAGGTAAAACACAAATCCTCCAAAATTTGGTACAACTTTACTCCAGTGGTCTCTGTCTGGAAGAAATCTTTGTGATAGTAGCTTAAGTTTATTTGAGGAAACAGCAAAGTAACAGTAGTTCAACTTAGTTGAAAATAGTTGTTGCTGAACCTGGTAATAATATTCGTGTGTAATGAGCAGTATGAATTCCCCAGCACTGTTCTTTTTTAGACGAGAGGAAGGCTTTAAAACAAGAAATTTAAAATCACTGTTCTCTTAGTCTGGGGGCAAATGTCATAAAATAAGGTCCCGTGTGAAATTCGTGCTGAAAACAAGCACCTAGTGTAAAAGTGTTCATTAGGTCCTACTAAACATGAAAAGTTTTGGTGCCAGCTTTGCCACTTGCTCAGACGGCTTTTAAGGGGGGGGGGGGGGGGGTAAATTCTGACCTATGAAATCCAGCGTGAAAACGAGGCTAAAACACATAATTCCTCATAACTTTGTTAATAACAGAAAATACACCAAACTTGCTCACATGATTGGGCATGATCCTCCCTGTTGATTTATGCTAATTTACATAGGTCACGTCACCTTACGCATGAAAGCGAGGCTGAAACACATAATTTACTATAAATTTGTCAAAAAAAATCCTTATGCCAAACTTGCTCACCTTAGTCACTTAGACATCATGCATCGATTGGTGCCACTTTGTAGTGTCACGTGACCCCATACATGGAAATGAGGCTGGATTGCAAAACACGCCAAAGGTGAATACATCATCCAGGACAATAACGTTGACTCATTGCAATGAATATTAATGCTGTATGTATAGCATTTGAATGGAAAAAATAAAAGCTAAAAAGGTGTAATGATAATGTATTTCGTGTGGCTTATATAACTTTATCATGAGCGATTTCTAAAATCCTATTTCGCACAAATTCCTGTTGTCCCAAGCTCTTTGTTTGCACGAGATGGTACCATGTTGCATTGTTCTTGCAAGAGTGCCCTTATGCATATCCTAGAGAAGGCCGGTGCCCCTAGTACTAATACACAAGAAATCACCGCAGGATTCAAAGTCGCGATTGTTGATGGAATGGCCGAAGTCCAATAACTTGACAAGCCGGAGTGGATCAAGAACTGTAGAGACTTAGCTGAACATTTCACGAATCACTTGCTTGTAAAGTATAATGATTTACAAGAGCTCCACATAATCTTCGACAGATATGATGTACCATCCTCACTGAAATCAGCAACACGAGTCAAACGACAAGGTGGCCATGCTCCCATTTATTATCGCATCACTGATTCTACCCACATCGCCAAGGTGCCGATGAAGAAGCTTCCTGCTCATTCAAAGACCAAGGGCGAACTTACTACGTTTCTCGCAAAGAATGTGAAGGATAATGCTAATGGAAGACAAGTCGTTGTGGCATGGGGAACGGAATGTGAGGCAACGCACAGAGACGTGAGGCATTTATGAAGTACACAAGAAGAAGCCGACACGAAGATTATTTTACATGCTCTGGATGCCTCTGCTCAAGGTGCTACCCAACTATCTATACATTCTCCTGACACTGATGTTCTTGTTTTGGCTCTCCGACGGTATCCAGATTTGTGCTCCAACTCTTGCTTTGTTACTGGGACCGGCAGTAGTCGTAGAGTTATCAACTTGAAGTCAATCGCAGACGCCCTTGGGCCCCCTAAGACGGCTGCGCTGCCAGCATTTCATGCGTTGACCGGAGCAGATGTTACTGGCAGTTTCTCCGGAAAGGGAAAAGCCACTTGTTGGGATGAGTTTTATAACGCCAGCACTCCTACCTTGCAAGCTCTTGCTAACCTCGGTTGTGGGGAACAGCCAGATGACGGCACAAGAAGTGGAGTGGAACAGCTGGTTTGTCGGATGTATCAACCAAAGACAGACATAAAAACTGTCAAAGCCCTCAGATGGTCCCTCTTTAAGAAAAATCAGGCTGAGTCTGAGAGGTTGCCGCCCGCACAAGCTGCTCTCCATCGAGCCATGCTGAGAGCGCACTACCAGCTTCTTGTTTGGAACAACGATCATGTAGCAAACCCGGTGTTGCCCTCACCAGAAGGTTATGGATAGCAAGATGAGGATGGAAAGTGGGTAACAGTCATGAAAAATCTTCCACCAGCTCCAGAGGCAATTATACAGCTTGTCCGATGCAAGTGCGCCAAGTCCTAGTCTAGTACATTCGTCACATGAGGTCACACAACTCGGGTAATATTGATGGAGAAAATTTGCATATTCGAGCGATCGAACGAAAAAAATTATTTCTCGAAAACTAAAATAAATTTTTACAAAAAATCTACACCACAATGATCAGAACATATTGGGCTACAAAATATGAAAGTAGGAGTGAAAACAAAATGATGCATGCCGACATTAGCTCTTAAATTGTTTTTGCGTATAATAGCTAGTCTTGAGAACCAAATAGCAGAGCAAATTCTGTCGATTCCACCCGCAGTAAGTAATCAGGCTCGAAGCGTTTCTCATCTATCAAAACAGGATCGATTCCGATAGTCGTAATCTTTTTTAGATAACGCTCTCTAACTTCTACATCCAGTTTTTTAACGTAATCAGACAGTGGAATTTGGACGACACGGTCTGGATCAGACAAAGGAATAGAAATTTTTGCGGTAGATGCCATACATATAATTTTTTTCTATTGTAAACTGGAAGGAACTATAAATTTGGACCTTGTTTGCATATAATAATTACTGAAACACGTGACTCAGATGTGCACCAACATGGCGGAAAATAATTCTGTGACGTCACGTGAAAACGATCTATAGCCTCTCGGTGTTTGAATTATATTACTAACCTGCAAATGCTTTGCACCTAAAACACAACACAACAATAATACGCGGAGAATTGATTCCAAATGTTAATTAACTCACCAAAGGCAAATAAAATGTTGAAGGAAATCATCTTGATCCCGTTCGTTGTTGAATTGATCTCCGCTCCGACTATCTAACAAGAGTCCCACCCTATGTGCGTCGAGTCAAATATCTGAGTTGCCGGTAATCGGAACCTTGTGTCATGCGCAGAGCAAAGATTATGGGGATCGCTGTGTTGCAATGGAAATATGTGGCGAAGGGTTTTTTTTGACGTCCGAAAAACGAGACAGATAAACGATTTTTTCAGTGCAGTTTTATCAGAAATGGTTTTTTTTGCACGACTCTCCTGTTGTTGTGTTTCTTGATCGTGGGCATCCACTCTTCTGGAATTTCTATTCCGCTATCCCTGTTTATTTATATGAATTGCCTCTTTGACTTTGCACGTGTTGTAATAAGGGTCACGATCAATAAATTTTATTTCGTTCCAGAGTGGTTCGTGTCCAGTTTTGTGAGCATGCTCTGAATCGGCTGAGATCTCGGTACGGGCGAGTCGGATGTCTCGATCGTGCTCTTTAATTCTGCCTTGCGTAGGTCTTCCAGTCCCTCCGATGTACACCTTGCCGCATTTACAGGGAATCCTGTAAACTACGCCATCTTGTTTAGCCGGGTCGACAGCGTCTTTTGGTCGTACTAACTGAGATCTTAGCGTAGTCTCCGACTTGAAAACAGCGCGTACGCCTTGTTGTTGTAGGGAACGGCGAAGCTGTCCGGACAGACCTTTGACATAAGGTAAAACCGCAATAGCTTTGCACTCGTTGGCGGCTTCGGCACTGTTGTTTGGTTATCCGGTCTTGGTAAGTTTCTGCAAGAAAGAAAAAGGATAACCATTCGAAACCAGAACAGATGGCAGATGTTTTTTCTCCTCGGCGATGACGTTACGAGTCCTTTGGCGTGCTCTTAAAGGCACTTGAGCATACGGCATTTTACTGATCGAGGGTGGTGTGAATCATACGCTAAGTATTGATCGGTGTACATGGGCTTCCTGTATACACTGGTGGTGAGTTGGCAGTCAAGTTCTCGTAAAATTGCGGTGTCAAACTCGCTTTCCTTCATTGTGACCCTTATTACTACACGCGCAGAGTCAAAGAGGCAATTCATATAAGTCTTCACCCTAACAACATCAACAGGGTGAGTGGAATAGAAATTCTAGAAGCGTGGATGTCCACGATCAAGAAACACAACAACAGGAGAGCCGTGCTGCGGACCGCTGAGGGAGCAAATTACTCATGAGTGAAACAGCAGGGATCGAAATGCACAATGCACCAATCAGAGCTGCTGAAAAGCAACTAATCACAACAGAGCATCATGCTTATAAGATCACGCATGACCAGTCGACCTCATCGCCTGAAGAAGACTACCAGTATGCAGTCGAAACGTCGCGATCTACATCACACGTGACTACATCTTGAGACAAACGAAAAAACTTAGCTTTAATTGTTATTCGCCACGATGAATAACCACAACCTTTTTTACGAAATTACCTTAGATATCTGTCATGCTAGAGCCCCGACCTATAAATGACGATGTATTCCTTGAAGAACGAAAGAAAACAAACCAATATAAAAACAAAAAAAATTAATGCAAACAATTTATTGAAACACGCCTCTTACAAGTGTCATGTGTCATTTTAAACTTTCTAAGTCTAGAAACTATTCTGTAACTCAAGACAAACCAGGGGCTAAAGCCTTCTAAACTTTAAAAAACAAAAGCAAAAAAAAGGAAGCAAACATCAGCGTCTGCAGTACACCGGACTTGATTCCAGCGGCTGCATTGAAATATTTCAATGCATCACCGCTCTTATCCTGCACGCCATCGCACTGATCATTTCCGGTGGCCCCAGGATCCCGATTGTTTGCGCAGAAAGGATTGTAGTCACTGTAAGCCAATTCTAGCGCTTCCTTGGCCAGGGCGGGGAAGTTGCAGTCGAAATCTATCAGGTTCTTTAAACACCTCTTTGCTTTGGCATTTTCCCTAAAAAAATAAATCACAACGTTCACTATAAAATAAAATCAAATGAAATAAATAAAAAACGAAAGTCCTCTAAAGAACACAATAGTGATATACTGTTTGGTGCGCTGGCACCTTAATGGAAATGAGCGTTTTCACTGGGTCTCTGCCCATAACCCTCCCCACCTCTTTTAAAGCCTTTTTTCACGTTAAACGAACCTTATCACCGCATGTGCATAGAAAAGCTGTAACAACGAGTATCGAGCTCTTTTGGTCCGCACACCTCCCTTCCCTTCCCCCTTCAATTAAAGATTTAAAATGCACATTCGTTAAACTTACGAGCAAAGAGCGGGATCTGATTTGTCCTTGGCAAATTTTTGGTGAAAGGATCGAACGCAAGTGTCTGCATTACTGCTAAATGATGCTGAACAAATTGATCCGCTGGTTGGCGGCATGGTGGGAATTTCCATAGAACCATCCAGACACTGCTGTTTTTCCGTGAAGGTCATGTCAACGATATCTCTGACCTGGCTTTCTTGCAGTGAATCTCCCATGCAGACCATCATCACGTCGACAACACAATTCTTCAGTTTGCTAAGCTCCGCACTGTAATACCAAGAAGATAAAAACTATTATGGTCAAACAGTCGAATCAAATTGCGATCTTTTGATGTATTTTATGTGGGGCAGTACACTGACCTTTATAAGAAAAAAAGAAAAGAAAAACAGCTGAAGATAAGAGAAAAACTAACAAAAGGCAATAACCAACTAAAAGAAATCAGGATGGGGAAGGAATAGGCAATTAGAAACTACAGAAGCGAATGCGACCTGGCTATGAATTTCTGTGAATAATTATGAATGACAGCAACAACAAATATGAGGAAAATGCTAATCGTTGCCCAACAGATTTGTAGCAAACAATATTTAGCATACGTATGTCCTTAAGAATGTTCGCTCTTCAAATGTACTTACCCACAATTTGCTTTTGGGTCTTTTTGAAAAATTTTAATAAAAGCAGTGCTGCATTTACGAGCGCTGCAGTAGTACTCCATGAAAGTACAAGAGCCCACGTTAGGAAGGGCAGCATCGTTTCCAACGAGAAAAACTTTATAAAAGCGAAAACAAAAATCAAATTAAAGTTATTTGATTGAATTCATCAATCTACGTATTAACTAGAATGATGTCAACGTGTACGTAACACGGCCATTACAGCTATGCCCAGATCTCAGATTTTCCCACCACGGCCGAACAGTTGAACTTAATTATTGAATATGTTGTCTGGGAGAATTCGAGAAGGTCCTACAAGCCCTCTCTAGCTTCTCGCGTTGACATGACTCTCTCAAATTCTCCCAGTCCCAACATTCCCAACCCCCCACTCCTTCCTCCCTCCCTCCACGAGTTTAGTTAAGGCTACGTAACCACGTAAACAGTCCTCTGATGTTTGAATAGCAAATTGATAGCTTCGCAGGTTTGCGGTTTTTTTTAGCTTCCACACTATCATACGGTATCAAGAGCCTAGAAGTTTGTAAAATTTTCTCTCAAGGTATAACAATGAATATCGTCACTCGTGATATTTTGGTGAATTTGAAATATCATACGCAGTGTTGGGCTGAGTCGCATTACAGGCCAATTTTTATTTTGGCTTGGATAAAATCGGCTGGAAAATCAATTTACATCAGACCGGAAATGAAAATGAAATTGAGCCTTTAACAAGTGAAAATGCAAACGTCAATCACACGGGGAAAATTTTAGGGGGGGGGGGGAATTGTGTCCAGTCACAACAGTTACCATGCTGAACAGGGAGATTTGCATTACGACCGTACATCTGTTGTTGCTTGTTATTAAGCGTCAGCGGACCTAGTTGTTGTCTTTTGTTTCCCTGACTGAAAGATGGTTAAATGAGCGCAACAGATAATTTCTTGCAGCTGCCCACTTGCGAAAACGAAATCGTCGGCTGCGACGAGCGCCATATGCATAGTCACCTTCACTTCCGAACGGATTGTGGTTTGAGATACACTACAACGATCGCACTATCCCATAGAACTTTTTCCGGCAGCGGCTTAGAATGAATGGAGCTACCTTCGATACGGTTGATATCTCCAGCAAAAATACTTGCCATTGGATTGTATCTTTTAGCTCATGGAAACTCTCATCTAAAGATTGGCCAAACTTTCAATGTTGGAAAGTCTGCCGTCATAGAAGCTGCGCAAGATGTAGTTGGCTCTCTCTATGAACTTTGGGATGACTACATTAAATTTCCTGAGAACCTACCGAGACCTTAGAGAGAGATGGGTTTGTGCTTAACGTATGAATCAATCAGTAACCTTTTGGTCAAAGAACACTAGTTTGATGGGACCGCCGAACAAATTTGGAAAATGCCAAAATTTTCCTAATTTTTTTCTCGTGAAAAATTGGATAATATTTTAAGAGAGGATGTCAGTTTCCATCGTACAAATTTGAAATATTTTGGCAAGTCGCCCAAAATTCGTTTTCTCTCCTACTTTCATATTTTGTAGCCCAGTATGTTCTTATAATTGTGGTGTAGTTTTTTTTTTGCGAAAATATATTTTAGCTTCGAGAAACGACTTTTTTCATTCGACCGCTCAAATATGCAAATTTTCACCGTGAATATTACCCGAGTTGCATATCATGTAACGAATGTACTAGACCTACGGTATTTCTGTGAACATAATCCTTTGTTTTATCAACTTAATCACCTGTCGTTATTGCGTAGTTGCGGTTTCCGCTTCTGATAACAAACAACCTTTGTTTGTTTCATATGAAACCAAAGAATCAAAGGTTTTCATTAAACGCGACCTTAATATCGCGTGATCTGATATAATGAGTTAGAGAAGATATATAAACAGGAACTCAAATCTGGCTAGAATGTGCTATAGCATAATTAACGTGATCATCGAAACAGCTAATAAAATCATAAATAAACAAGATAAGAGTGTTATGTTAGATCTTTTTGCAAATTGTAGGGATTTATGCCAGTTAACGGTGGCGACAAATAGGCGCACCATGTACATTTCATAGTCGCTATCAAGTAAATTTTGCCGGACTTTGAGTTCGTCTCAAGATAGAACAACACAAGGAAATTTTTATAATAACTTTATAACCATCCTTTTGTCTTATGAAAGCTTGAAGCTCAGTAGATCGTGTCATATCGGTCATTGTTAAAACTGTCTTTCTTTTGATGCTACTTTTCGACTTATGAAAAGTATGTCGGACAAATATTTTCACCAAAAATAAATATTTCTTTGTCAGCTTCAATAACGACAGGGGATTAAGTTTAGATGATGAAATAAAGGCTTATGTTCACAGAAATACCATAGGTCTGGTACATTCGTCACATGAGGTCACACAACTCGGGTAATATTCACTGTGAAAATTTGTATATTTGAGCGGTCGCACGAAAAAAATTATCTCTCGAAAACTAAAATATATTTTTACAAGAAAAACTACACCACAATCATTAGAACATATTGGGCTACAAAAAAAAAGTAGGAGGGAAAATAAATTTGGCTGACTTGCCGCTGTTTGTTTGATTCAAGCTGACATTAGCTCTTAATTCGCTCTAATGCGACTTGGCTCATAATCTAGCCAGCTTGTAGCTTTCATGTGCCCTAATAAGACACCTGTGTTGCAGGCTAAACATAATCTGACAAGCATTCTCATGTATATGTAATTCTATCTCATATGAATTCTGATCGTTCCTGTGTGGATCAAGTCTTCGTAGATCACGCGATATTAAGGTCGCGTTCAATGAAAACCTTTGATTCTTTGGTTTCATATAAAACAAAGGTTGTTTGTTATCAGAAACGGAAAGCGCAAATTAAGTGATAAAGATTTCTCAACTTTCTTGCCAAATTTAAGTCGGTAAGCCTGATCTAAATTCTCGGGTGAAATAACTTTAATTCTGGGCGACAAAACTACAGGAGAGATGGCTTTAGGGCGACCTGACTGGTTCAGTTAACTGAATTAACAAAACTGACTCAGTTCTCCTCTGCACAGATTGACTCGTTTCCCTTCCTCTTCGAGTGTTGTCTCCCCTTGTGAACAGGGGATCTTGTCACTTTAGCAAGAGACTTTTCCCGAGAAAATACAATTGGCACGTTGTTTCAGAACGATGTAATGCCCCTTTCCGAGTGAGTACTGCATTTATTGACCCTTCGTTGGACGAGAATTCTGCCTTGAAAAATTATGAAGCCACTTATTTTGAAGATTCTTACTTGCTGAGAAACAGATTGAAATGAAATCCATCACGAGGTGTATAAGAAGCCAGTTTCAATTTTCACTCTTCGCGGAAAGAAGTGACGCACGAGGATTCTTAGAAAAATATGCTCTAAGCTTTGCAAAAGTACCATTATTCCAGTTTCACTAACAGTTTGTACATAAGACAGTGACATTTTGTAGCTTATTTCAGTTAATTCACCAACAATTTGTAAACCCGAGATGGTGACATTTTGTAGAAAATGAAGTACATACATGTTTCAAATAAATTGAAATAAAAATGGAGAGTGATGATTCTCCAAACATGCGAGTTTAAGATTCGTTCCTTCGACATCACTTACCAAAAACAAAAGAGAAGAATTACTCCGATTCGCGAAATCTCGATTGCTCTAAGAAAGGTCTGAGAAAGTTTTTCAACAACAAAAAAAAATGTTGAAATTCTGGTGGATTAACAACATGAACTTTGCCAATATTTCGAGTGAAGTACACAACGAGCGAATTTGGTAAACATACAAGTTTCACGCTTCAGGACGATGCACATTATACTAATCTGCTTAAGAAAACTAAAAAATGAGTAGAAAATTAGAAACAAATCCATGAGAACTAATGAAATCATCGAAGAGACTGTAAAGAAGTCAACATCATTACATAAACGGATGAAACAAATATCACATTGCCTATTTGCTTGCAAGTAGTGATAGCCTCTCCGTGTTTGATTTATATGCTCAACCTGGGAAAACGCGACACGATAACGGATACTCTGAACGTTGTTGGCAGAGGTGAATTAACGAATGCAAGTCAGTTCGATTGAAGGTTGTTTCGATCGAAGGTCGTTTCGATCGATAAAAGTCGATTCGATCGAAGACAAGAGTCAGTTCGATCGAAGACTGTAACTATTCCTTAATTGTATTGAACTTACTATTTATCAAATCTGGTTCTCAGTGAAAGTGGCAACTTGTTCGTTTCATCATGGGCTCAAGACAAGTCGACGTTTTCTCATTACCCAACGTTCGTTCGATTACCGTTCTGAACATAACCCAACATAAAAACTAATTTTCTTTTCAAGGTCTATGGACAAATGAAAGTTTAACATTTTTTTGGCAAGATGGAAAAAAAATTCCTTTCAGTTAGTTACTTCTTCTTCTTCTGGGCAAAACCACTCTCGTTCTGGGAGAAACTCACTATATTCGCACCGACGGGTCGAGTAAGACTCTTAGCGATTTTAATGAAAAAATGACCTTCGATCGAACTGACTTGCTACCGAATAAACCTACCAAAGGCCAATAATAATAATAATAATCTGAAAATTGATTGCAAAGGTGAATTGACTTACCGAAGGCAAATAAAACGCTGAAGCAAATCATCTTGTTCTGTCCGTTGAGGAATTATTTTCGCACAGATGCTGTCTATAATCAGTCCCACCCTATGTACGCGTCGGGTTGAGTCAAATGTTTAAAATGCTAGTAATCGGATCCTTGTGTTGCGCGCAAAGGTTTCTGGGATCGCGGCGTGGCCGAACAAAAAAATGTTGCAAGTTGCTCGAAGGAAATATGGGCGAAGGGTTGTTTTGACGTCCGAAGAAACGGTTTCGGCGAGAGGACAATGATTTGTTTGTTTATTCATATATATTTATATTATTATTTTTATTTTTTTTCTTTAACGCAGTTTTATCAAGAATAAATTTCCGCCAAGATGAAACGAGGAAAGTATAAGATTTTGTCTAAACCCTGGAATATGTTGCAAAATATACCGATAAACTTCTCTCTATCCGTAAGGTTTATTATTATGAAATCGTCATTGCATTTAGACCTCGAAATATTGCGAAATTATCTGAAAAATACTTAATCTTTAATATCTGTTTTTATGCGAGAACCCCTCAGTACAAGTGATGGTTTATTTCATTTAAAACGAAAGTAAAAAAAATATGCGGAAAGTAGAGCTGCGGCATGGGTGGGAATATAAAATATAACGATACTAGAAACGAATGTTACAAGAAACGCCTTGTTATGAGCGCCACACTCAAGCGTTGTTTCTCTTTTGCGACCGGAAACATGATGAAATCAATCCTGTCCGAAAGGTTACTCACGACGGTAATTTCACATGTATGTGATTTGTTTTTCCAATAAACTAACATTTCTTGGAGAGAACAAGAACACTAGGAAAACATTAATTAAATTTAGAAGCTATGTAACACATTTAAAATGTATATTATCAGAATGTCTAAGCATCTAAAAAAAAGAAGAGAATGAAAACTGAAAGACATAAATAGTTAACTTCTTATTAACCAGAATAATGTTAATCAGTAAGCAGCGAAGCCGAAACAGCTTTGCCACGCCATCTGCCAAATTGGACTATGGCTAACCTTTTCCGGGACTTTTCTCTAGCTTTTTTTCGTAAATTCAAAGTGAAATTTCGAAACAAGCGAGCCGGGAAGTAGCGACAGAACAACCAAACAAAGATTTATAAACATGCCAGGCGCCGTAATTGACGTTATTATAACGTGAGCAGAGACGAAAATCCTCAAAGAGGAAACGAAATGGACAGTCCGAGTTTTGAGAGTTTTCACGCTCAGTTTGATTGGAAGCTTACGAATGGTAATAAAATTCAAACACAGTTAACACTCGTATAGTATATAAAGTTCGAGTTCAAAACAAAACAGAACAAAGCAGGAATGATAGAAAATATAGCCAAAGTGGCAACACTGTTATAATTCATACTAATCATGACGGTGTCAGAGCGACTGCGATCATGCTGAGGTCCAACGTGGCTAGCTCAGAGATCGCTAGTGAAGCAAGCTTCAGAAATTAAATCGACCGCCCTTCGAGTGAACAACTAAGAACTTGCTCTGATGTCCTTTCCGATGCGTTGAGTGGTGAGGGCCACAGCAGTCACTTGCAAAACTTTTTTTTTTCTTTGCCAGACTTACCGGCGATAGCGATCATTGTCTTATCTGCTTGAATAAAAGTGCCAACTAGTTGGGTTATCAGTCTAACGCGGTATCACTGCTGTCTTTGTGTTCCTAAATTAGCATGTGACTTGTATGCATTCCAGGTTGTTTTTTCTAAAGATCGTGTATCACATTTCGTGCCTTTGTTGTTCCCTTGTGGTTCAACGTTTATTTCCTGCGGAATGTAAACACTCGAGCTCTCCCCTAGAAATCGGCCTAAATTTACTTTTAATAGTCCTTTCATTGGCCTCCATTATTTCTTTATCCACAACAAACGTGTTTACATTTCCTATCCATAAAAACTCATACTGATTCAACAACCCACGGAAAGCCTGTGTGACTATATTATGTTATTCGAGTGACAGCAGATTTCGTGGGCACAATAAGAGGCAGATCGTTTAGATAAATGCAAAATAGCAATGGTGAGAGAATTGCCCCCTGAAGGACTCCGTGGGTGATAGGCAGGGGATCTGACAAGATTGAATTGATCCGAAGTGACTGTGATCGGCCCGTTAGATAGCTTTTAAACCAGTTCAATACATGCGGAGAAGCTCCGACGGACGAGAGTTTAACAAGCAGTTTATTATGATTCAAGCTGTCGAAAGCCTTCGAAAGGTCTGATAGGGTCAAAGCGGTTAAGTTCTTCATGCCCGTTGCCTCCAGGAGGTGGTCTGCCATGAAGAGGCTTAAAGTCTCGGTCGAATGAAGTTTCTTATTTCCACTCTGGTGAGAAGAGACTCTACCGTTGCTAAAAAGATACGCGCTGAACTGATCGAGAACAACCTTGTCACATATCTTAACAGCAAGTAGTGACAGGGGCCGATTATTTGAGGCTACTTCATGGTCCCCTTCCTTAAGTAAAGGAATCACTTCCGCGAATTTCCACGCATCGGGATACTATAGCAGACTCGAGAGAAGAGTTATAATCTCCGTAAGGGGACCCAAGATGACAGGAAGACAATCCCTATAAACACGGGTATGTATTTTGTCAGGGCCTGGGGACTTGTTTAGCGGCAAAGATGAAATAATGCGTCGCACCCCTTCACACGACACACGCTTAAAGTCAAAAAGATCTGCTGACCAAGTGATGTTGTTAATTTCTGCAAGATGACCAGCAACGAGGGCTGCAGTCTTACCAAATGACATAAAAAACACATTGAACTCATCGGCGACTTCTTCAGGTCTTTGGTATAAACTCGTCGAGGCTCTTTGTTTTTCGATGGAATAACGCGGTTGATTACTTTCCAGAGTGAACTAGGATTGCTCTTGTTTTGTTGAACTTCAAGAAAAGTATAATTCCGCTCTGTTTCTGTCAGTATTTCTTTGATGGTATCCCTGGATTCTTTATACTTCAATCCGAGGGGCCGCGAGACTGAAAAAAATTGCGGTGAAGTAGGTCTCTTGTATTCATGAGTTGTTTAATGCCTCTTGATACAAATGGACAAGGGCGATGGCGAATCCTGGTTGTTCTGACGGGAGCATGCAAGTCCAACGTGCTTCCAACAACATCATTGAGAGTGTTAAGTTTGGTATCCACATTACCGCAGGTAAAGATGGACAAGAGCTGGTCTGATTGGTTAGCAAGATCAGCAGTAAATGCGCCCGGCTCATAGTTCTTATAACTACGTGCTGTTATGTAGTGGGGCGAAGGCTTAGGTGTTTTCACCTTAAGCTCTACAAAAACTGGCAGGTGATTACTGATGGAGTAGTTGATCACGCCGCTACCACGTACCGACTAAGGGTGGAAGACCAAAATAACATCGAGCAGGGACTTCGTTGTAGCCGTAATCCTTGTTGGATGCTTAATGGGTTGTTGAAGATTCATTTCAGACGACAAATTGTTTAACGCTCTGCTTTCCGCGCAGGCTTTCCTTAGATCACAGTTTAAATCCCCAAGCATCACGATGGGTTTGTTAAGCGTCAGTGCTTGCATGTAAGTAGGTTTCAGGGTATCCTCGAAAGCACTAAGGGGGCAGTCATCTGGTCGGTAGGTTGTACACACTACAATTGACTTTGTTTTCTTCCACTGAAGACTTATCCAGAGTTGGTGGAAATTTCTCTCGGAAATCGATGAAAGGTCTTTTAAACCTTAGCTTTCAAATTATTGCGAGTATAGACACAAACGCCTCCCCCTCCCATGTGGTGCCGATTAAGTCTTGAGAGCTTCTATCCTTCCAAGTTCACCTCCAGCGATGAAACGCTCGTGTTCAGTCAGGACTCAGAGATGGTAATAACATCGAATTTACCTCTTTTATTCAGTTCTTTAAGTTGGATAAAGTGTTCAGAATTTCGGAGCGAACGAATATTTAGATGAAGAACTTATCTGTGAGAATCTTCAATTCGGTCTGAGTCAATAATCTCTGGTGAATGAACGGGCGATCTGGCTTTGTTTACATTTAGACGCTCCAATGATTTGAGATTATGTAAATTTGAACCTACTTGGTTGAATCTGGAATCCTTCTTAGGCCTATAAGATGTGGGGATATTGAAAATCTTGTTTCGGAATGAAACTCCGGCACGGCCTCCCTGCTCTTTAAGATGTCCTGGTTCTTGAGCAGACGTGAGAGGTCTTGAGAGATGGAATATTTCGATCTGAGATTGAGTAATTAATTCCTTGAATAGGCTATGCTATTGTTGTGGTGGTGCAATAATTTAAATACGGTTCCAACTGTCGCAACTACATCTTCCTCCGGGCCAGGGTTAACCTCTATATCCATATGGAGAGTCAAGTCCATCCAGAAAACTCGGCTGGGAAGAGCCAAGACGGTGGTACCATGTCTTGTAGTTCTGCTAATAGGAAGGTTCCAGTTCGAATTAGTTTCACCCTCGTTACGCTTGAAAACCACTTTAAGGGTCACAGCAAAAAATCGCGTAGGAATTGAGCTATCGTGTCGTAAAACCCCCATATGGTCGTCAAGAATCTGGTGATCTTTGTTCTGGCTCGGATGGTAGTCGAACCTCCCCAGCCACAACGTAGGAAAATCGAGAAAACATAGGATAGAGCAGAGCCCTAGAAAAAAGCGTGCAGCCAATGTGGCGCATACATTGGCATCAGGTATTAGAAAAGGTATTCATCGTTGTTTGGCTCTTATCCAGCTCCTCCTTTTCCGGCCGGTCATGGCCTGACAAGAGTGTAACATTTTTGCGGCTCAGAAATCGGGAACCTGACAATATTTTTATCCTGCTCTTGTCATACCGGTGTCTGGATCTATGAAGGGTGTTCAGGTGGCAGTCAGGCCGGATTCCGGCTCTGTAAGGCTCCAGATCTTCATTCTTCATTGCTACTATATGTGCAAGGTCCAAGTATGTTAACAAGGTATCTGGCCTGCGTACGGTCCTTTCTCGAATGAGTTTTTCTTCAACGCCTGAATTAGACAACTTTTAGGCTTTGAAAGTTCGAGCAAATAAACTTCCTCATTGAAACTTTTCGGCGGTCGAAACCGGGAAGACCTTTCCGTGTACTTCTTCCATTTCTCAAAATTGCAAATGAGGACGCCAATGCA